CGCCGAAACTTATTTCCGACTGAGAAGAACATATTTATCCCAAGTAGATAGAGCTGAGCGTCGGCTTTTCTCCAAAATTTTTAAATTCATTTTCAAATTTCTAAGATTAGAGAGGCTTTCTTTATATTATTAAAACTCACAGAAACTTATTTCCAATCGATAAAACGCATTTATCCCAAGCAGATGGAGCGGATCTCTTTCCTAGTGTCAGATAAAGCAAAATGAAGAAATTTCTAGCTACTTTCGTAGCACAAAAATGGACTCCTTCTACATATCTTGCCCTTGCTCATACTGTGATGAACTTTTTCCAGTGCTGTGCCTCCCCTCCCCCCACCCCTTCCACTTCGCAAGCTTGAAAATTCGTGCATCAACTATGTGCTGTATTCTTTTTACCCACACACAGAGCATGCATATATGCCCTCTTAAATGGAATGGATCGTATGGCGAGATAAAAATGGCAGCTGGCCAAAAAAAATCGAAAATAATCGCATTTTTTTTCCAAATCAAGATCTGCAACAATTCGCAGGTAAAAACTGAATCTTACGCTATCCACAGTTCACTGGTTAGTCGATTATTAAATTCGAAGGAAAGTACGAATAACTGCATCACTTAATCCATGTTAACTAAGTAATCTTATGAATTCTGCGATAACTTACAGGTGCAAAAGTGACTTTTTTTGAGGTGCTCGGTTTCGAGCCACAACTATGTCCATCTTCGCTTCCATTCATCTTCGCATCGAAGTGCCGTTTATCAAGGCTTTCGGTATCATCGCTCTCATCGTTATCCGGTTCAAGATCGCTTTCCTTCTCCTCCTCCCCGTAGGCCTTTTCCGCAGCCTTTTTTGGATCACACATTTCGAGCACATCTGCAAATATGCACCATTTGGACTGAAGATCAGCCCCTCTAGTCTCCGTACATGAGAGAGAAAACACATAAACGGTTGCGTGATTAACGGATACGTTACAGATTGGGCATAATACTTCCACTGGTGTAAAAAAAAATGCAGACGCTTCTTCTTCAGTTCAACTTGGATTAGTTCAAATCTGCCAGTATGATTCGTAAAATGCTAAGTAAAAGATCCCACGGACCGTTTAGGCCCTGTGGGCGAAAGGAAGTAGGAACCCATAAGGGCTGCACCGGTACTGGATGACTCTGAACAGACCGTCCATAAGACGGCGTTGATCCAAAATCCGGCGACCATTTTATTCAGTTGGAAAAAGGAGGGAAATAAAATAAGGCAAAGAAGATAGTGGTGTTGCACATGTTCAAAAAACAGTGTGTCGTGTGAAGAGGATATGTAAAGTGGTGTATGTGGAAAGCAGCTTGCCTGTGTTTCATCCCTAAGCTGTAAACACAGACAGTGGGAGATGTGATTAGGGGCGGGAATCATGGTAAAGTTGATCTATCAAGATTTCAAAAAGCTTAGCGTGCCTTTCAAGCGTAGAAAAAAAAAGAAAAGATGTAACTGGTGGCAGCTCGCTAGCGGCTACTTCTTGCTGACAACGCTCATCTGCATGTTCATCTCCTATTTTTAACTTATCTCTCTTTTAATCCCAGAGCATGCATTTTTATCATGCCTTATTCATTCAAGCCACATTAAAAGCCTCAAACGAAGAGGGAATGCAAAATTTTATCTTGATAAGAACACCCAATCCACTAATTTATCCAAAAATTCTGCAAAAACTGGAAAGCTGTGACAAAAAAGGTTTCCATAAAAACAAAAAAGGTTTCCATAAATACCGTAAAATTTGTAAAAAAATATGGCAAAAATATGAAAATATGTAAAAAAAGACTAACAATCGAGGCCTTCAGCGCGGAATACTTGCGGCATATTCTTGCTTTTTCGTTTTTTATATCCAAGTAGCTTTTCATAGCGATGAATTTCAATGTCATCCTCATTGATACATTGTAAAAGATTCTCCCTGCTAATTTGCTTCGCCTGAAATATATCAGGGGATTCTGATATGGAAATAAAGCTACAAATTTGCGGTAAAATTAGGTGGTCTCTCTCCCCACACAGCAAACTGGTACTGATCTTGCCTGAAGGGAGGTTTGGACAATCAACAACTTCTAAGCAACAATCGGAAGTAGTAGGAGTAGCTTGTAAATGAGTAATTATTATGGCAATGTTCTATTATTCTGGCTATTTCTTTTTGCTTACGACTTACATGGAGGGCAAATTCCAACTTTGGCTAACGATATAATCGTTAACTAAACTGTATTTAATGATTATAATCTCGGTCATGCAATAAATAGTTAAGCAGGAATCCGATTCTCCATCCCCAAGCCATTTTTTCGGCCGCCGCTTTTCCCATCGTAGATGAAATCTACGGTGGCCAAATCCTTTCCTGATTCCCATGATGCTCACTCTCAAATCCCAGTGTCTGGTTGAAAGAAGGACAGTATATAAGTCCGAGGATCCGACGTTCTGGGTTCGCTTTCACGTTTAACTTTTCGTACCGATTGAGAGCCATCATCCAACGTCTTATCTCCGCGTTAACTGACACTGGTGATCTACTGATTCCCCGTCTCTTTCTCGCCTTTCATTATTGTAACGCGCAATAAACCTTGTCCTATATCTTAGTCTAGCCTGGCACTTTCATCGGTTCCTTCGATCCACTGACATGCATGCGGCACCGAAAGTAAAATCTCACTTTTTACTGTATAACGCTGGGAAGTAAGTCGAACCATCAATGAAGGAACGTAGACCAATAAGAACCTAACAATATAGATGGGTC